TTTCCTCTCTCTTCTTCTAGCACCCCAAAAATTCGGATGTTGGTACGTTTAATGTTGTCCCAAAGGCTCCTTACACTATCTTCATATTTTGGAATTCTTTAATGTTTCTTTATTTTTCTGGTTGGGTGTTTTTTGTTTCCTCATATTCCAGAACGTTTGTTTGATTCTTGGGATACATTGATCTATAGTTGAGTTTCTGTACATTCTTTATTTCAGACAGTGTATGCTTAGTTTCTGACTGGTCCTTTTCAATTTTTTTGGCATTCTCATTAAGTTCCTTGAAGGTCTCTTAAAGTTTCTCAGTGGTTTTTAGAAGGTTCTTGAGTAACCTTATAAATGTGGTTTTGAATTCTGTGTTGTCCTATAGTTTGCTTTCCTCCATTTCTTTCATCCATGACATGTTTCTGTGTTTCCGCAGTTTCTGCACTTTGGCTACTTCCCTTTGTTGTTTAAGTGATTTGTGTGGTAGGTGACCTAAAGGGGCCAGTATCTCAGCTTCCCCAATCATCCGAGTTGGTCGTTCTTGGTACACCCTTTGTGGGCTGAGTGCAAAGACTTGGTATAGTGAAGCCTTGATTGCTAATGGTACAAAGGGAGGAATTGACCTCCAGGCCAATTGGTTGTGAGGATCCGCTGTGTCTATGATGGAAGAACTGCTGTGCTGGAGACATGCTTATGGTGAAGGCCTTGTTTCAGTGGGGCTTTGGTGCTCAATGAGTCCACCTCCCAAATGTGTCACTTATGGATGTGAGGAATTGGAATCTGGTGTCGCACACTGACCACTAGGTACACTGGCTTCTGGATCTCCAATGGGTGCAGCTCAGCTACTGTCTGAGGCCACCCTGCAGGAGTTACAGCAAGAACCACAGTCCTCTCCTCCCTGGTTGGGGCTTTGAGATTTTGGAGCTGTCTGAACCCGGTTGCAACTTTGCTAGGTTAAGCTGTGAAAGGGAAGACCATTCATATGCAAAAGCCGATGCTTGGAGCTTGGGTGGGCTTTATAGGTTGTGTAGGGTGGGGTCTCAGGGCATCACCAGACTGCCAGCCCACAGTCCCCACGCTTCCTACCATGACCCTGTGGTCGGCACCCCAGCTCAGTAAGCAATTATTCCTGTGCACAGCTCTGCAAGCAAGCCACACTCATTGTCTGGCCCAATGGCAGACAGTCCAGCTTCTCCCCTAGGAGTTTGGGTCCCTCGAGTCTCCCCAGGAACTGGATTTCAGAGAAAACGGGAGCTTGTCTCCATTCGGGTTGAAGAAAGCAATGCCTGCCACCAGCCAGGATGGTGCAAGACTCCTTTACGCCAGCTTTTCAGTGCTTGTGCCCTGAATATCCTTTCCTTTCCTTCTATTTATAGAACTTCCACTCAGTTAGCTTTCCCGTGGTTCTGGGTGATAAACATTTTGTCTTTTAGTGGTAGTTTTGAAATTGTTGTGCATGGCAGCAGTTTAGATATTTACCTACACCACCACCTTGGATGTCTCCCCCATATTAACCTATTATTGTATAGGGTATACACTGAGTGACCAGATTATAATGTGTTCAGAGATCATAATAATCTGGCCACTCAGTGTATTTGTACATTGGTATTCTTTCCAGCAGCTTTCTATGTATGCTTATTATTTCTAAAAGGTTATATTAATAACTAGATAGCTTCTAAATTTTATAAGGCGCAATCCAATTATTTTTTAATGCTGACAGATTTTTTTTTCTTTAGTATTTCAAAATGTATGCTACCTTGGCCCTAGCCATTGCATAGAGCAACGGCCTGTGGAACAAAGGGTCCTGGGTTTGATTTCAATCAAGGGCTCATACCTCGACTGCAGTCTCCTCCCCAGCTGGGCTCTAGTCAGGGTTCTTGCAGTAGGTAACCAATCAATGTATTTCTCCACATCGATATTTATGAGTCTTGGTATCAACTACCCATCGAAGGTACTTACCAGATTGTATGTTCTATCCCCTGCTCCAGTTGTGTCACATGAGGCAGGTAGGCAATCAATCTCAATCTCTCTCTCTCAATATCTCTCAGTCTCTCCCCCCTCTCTCTCCCACCCCCAACCTCTTTCCCACACTTCCATGCTGTTAAAAAAACAATGTAAGGAAAATCCTCTGGTGACCATTTTTTCAAATATTTCATTGTTTCCTTTTCTCTTTTTACAACTGACCCACGCAGTACAATGCTGATAGAATTGGGATTAGATTGTCAAAGCTGTCTTATTCTTGATAGGAAATACAAAATTTTTTAAACATTTTACCATGTTCATTGTGAACAAAGGAAGTTCCATTCCAATCCTAATCGGGTAAGAATTTTAATCTTGAGTATTTGTGGACGTCCATCAGACACTTGTGTATTTGTTGAACTGGTCATAGGAATTTTCCTTCTATTAATCTGTTAATATGGTGAGTTATATAGATAACATTCCAAGTTTAAAAAATCTTGTATTTCTTGGAGGGAGGAGGGCTGTTCATGATATATTATTCTTCGGAATAAACTACACTTAATACTTTGGTTAGGATGTGTGTGAAGGACCTCATGAACAACATTAGGCCATTTTATTTCGTGTACTCTCTTGGACTTTGGTACAAAGGACACTAGCTTCTTAAAATGAACTGAAATGTAAAAAATGTTCTGTTCTCTGGAATTCAAGTCTCCTCAAGGCTGAGAACAGTGGAGCAATAGGCTTTGCCATGATCAGCTCTACCTGAGTGGCATCTCATTTTTCAGTATCAGAGCCTACTTACAACAGAGGAGCAGAAGGGGATGCTTCAATGTACCCATCACTTCAGCTTTTGAGAGATGCTCATCTTCCCTGGTAGACACCTCTAATGATGCTTTCACTTGAAAGCTACCCACACCTAGTTGTATGCTGATATAAAATGTGCCAAGCATGTCAAACTCACAGCTGGTGGGCCTCATGCCTTGTTTAGTTTCTACACCCCGTAAGGTAGAAGTCATGGCTCTATTAACTTGCCTGGATAATTTCAATCTCCTACATGGTGATGAATGACCTGAACACATGCTCAGCTATGTACTTATACCAACTCCTCCATTTATTGTGATCTTTCATAATCGGAATAAGAAGTTACATTTATAGAGCATATACTACTCATTACCACCTCTCTGAGCTGGGTTCCATACATGTATCACCTAATTTAATCCTCACAGTTAAGTTGGAACAGAGTGTACACAACATTTGTCAGTGAATCCCATTCAAAGCAGCTTAGGGATTCAAGTCTAAGTTAGAAATCCTCCTTGTTTCTCAATCTAAAAATTTCTAAAAGTGTATACAGAAAAACGGATGTGGTAGTGACAGGCTGTAAGTGATCTTTGATTAGCAAGTTGTTGCTCTGATGATTGGGAAGTGGAGTACAGGATGCAGTACTGCTTCACAGCAAGTGATTGAGGACTGAGCCTAAGTGCCAGCACCGTTATCTAAGGGTATTGGTAAACCATACACTGACCGAGTGACCACAGGTATGTTCAGAGAAACGGTTACTGTCTGGTGATGCATGCATGGTAACACAAGCAGAGAAGTTAAGAAAATGGGAAAGCAGGAGAGGTTAATGTATTTAATTTATGGAAGTGAGCGAATTCCTTTATGTATGTCACAAATCCCAAAATCAGAAGGTAGTGATTCGTCAAAGAATACGTGTAAACATGCTATTAAAATACGTTTCTGTCACGGCCCTGTTTATGAAACATATTGTCCATGGAGGTTAAACCTACCCTGTCTATCCACAATGTTACTGAAAGAAAAAGTGTGATTCGTGGTAGGGAAATGATTCAATCCGTTTTTCTTGACCAGGGGTTACAATGCTCTGTGGCCTTGGCAGGGAACCCTCAACTCCTGTATGAGGAGCCCAAGTGAGCTTCCATGCTCATTTCCGCGCATGCGCATTTCCCACTGCTGCGCATGCCCAGAGCTGCACCGTTCAGACTGTTCATTTCCATATAAGGCCACTTCCGCACATGCGCCTTTCACCCAAGACAGTTGCTGCGCATGCGCTTTGCTGCCCGAGTTTGGTGAGAAGTGCGCAACAGGCGGTCGTGCTCCTTCCATTTTGATTCCTTCTCGCTGGTTCACATTCACCTGGTAGGTCCACAGAGCTGCCCTCCGGGACTTTAATTAATATGGCAGAGTGTGAGGAGAAGGCCCGCGGGTTTGGGTGGGGCGGAGCGGCGGGGTCTGTGGCCTCCTAGGAGAAAGGGCCTCGAGGGCAGCGCCTGTGTCCTCTCAGGCATCATGGCCGCCATGGCCCTGGAAGGCCTGGCGTGACCCGGACTAAGAGGGGCTGGGCCCAGCAGGGCAGGGGGCAGGTAAAGGGTTTGGGGGACAGTATTTGGGGTGTCTGGGCCATGGAGGGCCCTGGACCGGCCCACAGAACACAATCCCCGGTCCTCCTTGGGGCGCTGGGAAGGGGGCGGGGGGGCTGGCGGCGGGCAGGGAAGGAAGGGCCTAGACACGGCCATGCTGAGGGACCGCCCTGCTGAGGCCTGCAGCTGGCCCCCTTCCGAGGTGTGCAGCGCCCCCAGCAGAGTCCCCAGGGACACACGGGCACAGCCTCTGGATGCACCTGGTCCCTGTGCCTCCTGGCAGTGCCAAGCAGCACAGCGGCATGGCGGCCCGGAGCCTCCTTTGCGCTCCAGCTGCACTGACTGGAGGGAAATGGGCTGATCCCGGGAGCGGGCAAAGCGGTGCTCACTCAGTGTGGTTTAAGCAGTATTGTCCTGAATGTCTTCGTCAAGGGGAAGCCATTGTGATAGCAGACGTGGTAGTTTCTCACCTGCTTGAGGCGATGGCAGGCAGCAAGGCCCTGACCTACGTGGCTTGGCAAGCCCATCTATTTGGTATCACCGGGAAGCCTGTGCATTTACTTTATTAATGAGTTCAAAGTTTTAAAAAAAATGAAAAGAAATAATCATTTTGCCATGGAAGTGATATAGTTACCCCCTTATGTACATTTTCCTAATCAAATTGTTCTACTTCCAGTGTAAAAGATGAGTCGTAAATTATCATCAAAAGTTGATTGGAGTACCATGGTAGAAGAGGAAGAGACTGAACAGCAAGTTGGACCAGTGGTTGTGAGTGCTTTGATATTTGAACTATTATAGAAATGTATTTTCCTGTAAGTTTTGTTGAATGCCTCTAGGTATAGTGTTAAAAGCTTCTGAGCTGGCCGAAACCTGTTTGGTTCAGTGGTAGAGCATCGGTCTGCGGACTGAAAGGTTCTGGGTTCGATTCAGATCAAGGGCATGTACCTTGGTTGCCCGCCCATCTCCAGTAGGGGGTGTGCAGGAGGAAGCTGGTCGATGTTTCTCTTTCATCGACGTTTCTAGCTCTCTATCTCTCTCCTTTCCTCTCTGTAAAAAATCAATAAAATATATTTTTTTAAAAAAGCTTTTGAGCTGATAAGGGAGTAACATTGGCCCAGGAGTGTTCCTGAGGAAGGAAACCTTGACCCAGGAGGTTAGCTGTCTGGCATTGCCAGTGGAAATAACCTCTAGGGCTCCTTTCTCATGCTCATTAACACAGACTGCCCACATCCCAGGAGAGTTTAAAAGAGCTTCAGCTTTAGAAGTCCTTGTGGGCAGCTCCTCTCCAAAGAACCAGGCAGAGGGGAGAGAAACAATATTAATAAATATATCATGGCCAAAATGCCTTTATTCTTATTCGTGATTATACATGAGTGTATATTATGTATATGGTTATGATTGTCATGTATTAACAGCAAAACCTTTCATTTACGCACGCACACACCCCTAGGACCAGCAGCCCAGTGATAAAAAACCTAAACAGGAGGAGCCACCTACTGAGAGTCAGGATGTTAAACCTCAGGAAGCACAAGCAGAAGCAGGAGCATCTGAGGTTCAAGGTGAAGGAGAAGGTAAGAAGACTGCCTGTGGGGGGCAGGGGTTCTATCTGTCCATCATTTATTTTGACAAACCATAGCTGTTGGAAAGAAAACATAAAAAAGCAATGCAACCATGTCCTTGAAATTTGGTTAAAATGTGAAGATTTTAGAGTTTTCGTGTATGTGCTGTCCTTTGCTATGAATTTTCCCTTTATCTTCAGTAATTATGTAGTGTCATTGAAAATGCAATTCTTGCCGAAACCGGTTTTTTTTTTTATATATTTTATTGATTTTTTTACAGAGAGGAAGGGAGAGGAATAGAGAGTTAGAAACATCGATGAGAGAGAATCATCAATCTGCTGCCTCTTGCACACCCCCTACTGGGGATATGCCCGCAACCCAGGTACATGCCCTCGACCGGAATCGAACCCGGGACCTTTCAGTCTGCAGGCCAACGCTCTACCACTGAGCCAAACCGGTAGAGCATTGGCCTGCGGACTGAAAGGTCCCAGGTTCAATTCCAGTCAAGGGCAGGTACATTGGTTATGGGCACATCCCCGGCAGGGGTTATGCAGGAGGCAGCTGGTTGATGTTTCTCTCTCATCAACATTTCTAGCTCTCTATCCTTCTTCCTTTCTCTCTGTGGAAAATCAATAAAATATACATTTTTACAAAATGCAGTTCTTGGGTGTGAAGAGAGCAGAGGACCTGAAAAGTGGCACTTCAGCAAATTGGGCTTATTCTTATCCAAAAGCAACTTGGGCTTATTCTTATCCAAAAGCAACTTGGGCTTATTCTTGACAGGTGGCAGGATACTATGGCCTTCCTGTAACATTAGGCCCTATAAATAAAGAAAAAGAAAAAGAAAATGCAATCCTTGCTAAATCAGAGGAAACTGTATAATTTTAAATACAAACATTTCATTAGTTTTTCATTTTCATTGGTGATTCTTAGAACGTTTTGAGTGGTTTTTCTTCTCCACAGTTATATGTTTGGCACTACAAATGTACCATAGTGTCACTTTAATAGAGTTCACTCATAAAGGTTTTTGAATAGTAGTTCAGAACCCAAATGCCTTACAGCCTGATATATGATCTATCAAATAAAGAAATAGATTGACCCTCACTGGTTTGGCTCAGTAGATAGAACGTCTGCCTCCAGACTGAAAGGTCCCAGGTTCAATTTCAGTCAAGGGCACATGCCCTGGTTGTGGGCCCAATCCCCAAAAGGGGGTGTGCAGGAGGCAATTGATCCATGATTCTCTCTCATTGATGTTTCTATTTCTCTCCCTCTCCTTTTCTCTGTGAGATCAATAAAAATATTTTTTAAAAGAAAGAAACAGATTAGATCAAAGTATATTGAATTATAAAATAATGAAAACATTTTCATACTTTGGGGGTATATTTACTTTAACCAACAGCAAATAATTTTCCAATACTTTTGTAATTCCTACCTTTAACAAATACATAACACATTTGTAATAAATACCAGTTTGTATGAACTATGCTGGGCACTGAAGTAGATTTTAATACCAGCTGTAATATAATTTGTGTGAATCTGGGGGAATCTCTCAACTTCTAAGTTAATCTTACTCATATTAATAGTGAATCAAATCAGATATACTAAAATCATTTTCAATGCTGATAATTGCATGATCTGGTTCTTTTGGATGCAATAAAAAGCATACCAAGATACTATGTTTTTTCCCTTGTTGTAAAATACCTTCTTTAGTCATATGGTTACATCTGAATTGAGATTTTTATTGCTACTAAGATAATGACTTAGATTCTGTCAAATTCTGAATTATTTTGGCTTTTAGAAAACAATTACATTTTATTTTATTTTATTTTTAAATATATTTTATTGATTTTTCACAGAGAGGAAGAGAGAGAGATAGAGAGTTAGAAACATCGATGAGAGAGAATCATCGATCAGCTGCCTCTTGCACACCCCGCACCGGGGATGTGCCCGCAGCCAAGGTACATGCCCTTGCCCGGAATCGAACCTGGGACCTTTCAGTCCGCAGGCCGACGCTCTATCCACTGAGCCAAACCGGTCCCGGCAGAAAACAATTACATTTTAAATATTTTTCCCAATGAGGTCTCAAATGAGTAAATCATGCAATAATCTAGTTTCTATGTCTGATCAGGTAGAGAGAATTCAGGAAATCACTAATACTAAGGAGGTCTGAGTAAGATACCTATGCTAATCATATTCCCTGTCACCCTTACTGAGTAGCTCTCCCTAATAAAAATGTGGTCCCTGCTATATAAATACCTCTAAAATTATATCAAATGTGGTATATCGTAAGCTTCTGCCCTGAAAAAAAAACAATTGATAAGATTGGAAGTTCAAGGGCTACAACTTCAGTCATTGCTTGGTAATCAGCTTATGTTTACTGTGAAAATTGATAACTTTTTTAAGGCCCTGACCCGGAAGCTGTTCTCCAGGAACAGGATCAGCCAAAGACTGGAGGTGAGAGCAGTGGTGTTAAGTACAAGATTTTAGGCAAACTGGAACCCAGTAACATTCCAGAAAGAGGTATGCTATACATGAAGATTGTAATTAAATGTGTATTCTGTTTCCCACAATGATATCTCTAATAATATGGAGGTAACACAACACACTGTTACTTTAATAACAGGGCTCACATCTAAAGATTTTTAAAAAGTAGGTCAAATTTCAAAAGCCTGATTAACAGCCGAAATCGGTTTTGCTCAGTGGATAGAGTGCCTGCCTGCAGACTGAAAGGTCCCAGGTTCGATTCTGGTCAAGGGCATGTACATTGGTTGAGGGCACATCCCCGGTGGGGAGTGTGCAGGAGGCAGCTGGTCAATGTAACACTCTCATCAATGTTTCTAGCTCTCTATCCCTCTCCCTTCCTCTTTGTGAAAAATCAATAAAATATGTTTTTTAAAAGCATGATTAACAGACTTATAGACTATCAGATATAGAAACAATTAAGTTCAAAGTCATTTTAAATTATAAGTTTGAAAACATTTTGTTTTGAATATATAAGCTAATAACTTTTAAATACTTCCATATTTTCTGATTTAACAAATACATAATGCATTTGTAATAAATATGAGGTTCTATAAATATTCTAGACACTGCAATAGATTCTAGTACCACCTTTAATATAACTTGTGTAATTCTTAGAGAATCCCTTACCTTCCAAATCCATCCTTACTCTTACATAGTGAGTCACAGAGATACTAAAAAATTTTCAAAGCTGCTTTTTGCATTCTCTGTTTTTGTTGCATAGAGTACAATGAAAATAAACATATTCTGTTTTCATAACTTATTTATCTGTTGTCAGATTTTTTTCAAATTCCGAATTCTTTCTGGCTCTTAGAAAGCAGTTTCATTTTAAATTTTTTCCTCATTGAAGCCTCAAATGTCTAAATCATGAAATGGCAAGAGATTGTATAGTTTTAGTTTTTTGAATTGGATCGAACAGAGCATGTGCAGGCAGTCACTGATGTGAAAGGCAGGTGTAAGTAGGATATCTATGCGAAGCATGCTCCCTGTCACCACTGTCAGTCTTAGTGAGATATTGTCCCTAATAAAAATGTGGAAAATATAATATCACCTCTAACAATATCAAACGTGGCATGTTATACCTTTCTTCATGGAAACATCTGTTGGTAAGATTAGTTCAAAAACTATAACCTTACTAATTCCTGAGTAGTCATCTAGAGTATGATTGATGCTGAAAAGGATAACTCCTTTTTTAAGTGCCTGAACCAGCAGTTGATCTCCCAGACCTGCCTCAGCCAGAGATTTGGGTTGAAGATGAAGATGAAACTCGTTACAAGTGGGAGATATCACCAAAACCAGAGCCTGTTTACATGCCGGAAGCAGGTAAGTTATACATTAAAAATGTAATATCTGCCCAGCTCGCATGGCTCAGTGGTTGAATGTCAACCAATGAGCCAGAAGGTCATGGTTCAATTCCCAGTCAGGGCACATGCCCAGGTTGCTGGCTCAATCCCCAGTGTGGGGCATGCAGAAGGGAGTCTTATCAGTGATTCTCTCTCATCACTGATGCTTCTGTCTCTCTCTTCCTCTCTGAAATGAATAAAAATATTTTTAAAAGAATGTAATTTGTGTTTTGCTGACCATTAGTTACAAAGGATTCTGAATTTAAAGGGAGTGCTTTGAGTTCAGGAAGGTTTTATCTTCTATTTGTCTTCTAAACGTTTTTACTTTACAGTACTTAAACATTTCATTAGACTATTTACATTAGGGATAGTTCTTAGACTACTCCAGGAGCCTATTATACATGGTTAAAATATATTCACAGGAAGGGGATAGCCTTTTTAAATGTTTTATTGACTGATTTTAGTGAGGAGGGAAAGAAGAGACAAACAATGATTTGTGTTCCACTTCTTTATGTATTCATTGATTTTTGTATGAGCACTGACCAGGGATCGAACCCACAACCTTGACGTATTGGGACGACACTCTAACAAACTAAGTTTCCTGACCATGGCAGATCATAGCCTTTTAATGTATATGTTACTAAATAGATAATAAATTTCATGACCATCCAATAAAAATTTAAGAAAAAAGTACAACAGAATAAACCTAAGGGATAAGATATGAGATACATAATAAAAGTATAACTCTGTGGAAGAAGAAATCCATAATTTAATTGATAAATGAGAAAGACTGCTCATTTTTAAAACACTTGTGAAGAAATTAGGTATTGGACCTCAGGACACTGAAAGAAAAGGTGTGAAAAGTATCCATTATTTTACATAATCTGGGGGGAAGAAAGAAAGAAGCCCAAGTGTACCCATAAGGAACACAAATAAGACACTAACAAATACTGAACATTATATATAACTGAAAACATTCTTGAACACTAATATTTTGGAAATTTGGATGAAATGGTTAATATACTAGGAAAACTTCTATACATTAAATAATATATCCCAGTAGCAGCTGAATATCTAAACAGCAGAGATACCATGTGAGAAATTCAGAGATTGGTTCAGAGTTGTCCCTCCTAAGCTCTTTTAGTTAATAATATGATACTGTATATTTGAAAGTTCATGAAAGTAGATCCTGATCATTCTCACCACAAAAATAAGTGTTAGCTACTTGAGGTGAGGAATGGATTAATGACATACATTTACCTTGGTGATCATGCCACCATGCATACATATAGCAAATACACCATGTTTTACTCTTTCAATATATTCAATAATATTTGGTAATTATTTCTCAGTAAAGTTTTTTTTCAAAGCACTTATTTTGAGAAACAAAAGTTGTTTTGGCTTAGATCTTTCTCTTATTCTTCCTTTTTTTTCCTTTCCCCTCCTTCTCTCCGTTCTCCTTTTTTTCCCCCCTTAATAAAAGGCATCCAATATATGAGCTTCATGTTTTATTGTCAAAAATGATAATGAGTTAAAACTAGTGTGACTGTAAAGTTATTATACAAATCAAAATTCATAAGACATCCATAATTATACTTAGGACTACAGACTGAATTGAGGACACATGGTTATAACCCTACTTAAACAATGGCATAAGGGCTAAATGAGCCCAAGAAACATTTCTGCTTTTCTGCACCATAAGGAGGAAGCAAGGGCAGCGGGCCTTTCTGTTTATTTCACATAGGCAGGAATAAATGTGACCATTCTGTTTTAGCTCTCCTATATTCAGAACAGTATTTCAAATCAAAGCATTTCTGTACATATCTTTTCTGCCTTAGGGGTTTTCTGTTGGATGGTGTTCAGATTTTTTCAAAAAAAAAAAAAAGTCTACACATTTTTTGCTTACTATTTAAAACCACTTTTTTATAGGTTTATTTCCTTTCCTGTGCTCTAAGCTTAAATAGTCTATTTGTTTTCGAGTACCAATAGAAAGAGTGATGTCAATATTGGTAAAATGTAGGTGTGGAAGTCTGTCTTATAAAAGCTAAACTTTGTCCTTTGTGTATCTTTAATGTCATCTAAAGGTAATGAGACTAAGCAACGTTCCCAACAGTTATGTTTCTCTTGCAGGGGAAGGAAACCCACCCATCTAAAGGAAGATGATATCAAGACACCCAGATTATTCTTATATTGGATAAGAATACACAAATTCACTGTTAAAAGTCTTCTCAATAAAGTTTTACAGCATTATCCAAGGCATCTTGCAAATTTTTAGTGAAGCGTATTCCCAAGTACTTGATACTATTGAAAATTATAGCATTTTCTGACGTTTTATACTCCAATTAAGCTTTCATATCTACATATGGGGGAGATAAGAGATCAACCGAAGGACTTGTATGCATGCATATAAGAATAACCAATGGACGAAAAACTCTGGGGAGGGAAGGCATATATGGGAATGGTGGTGGGGTGGGGATTGGTAAGGTATGTACACATATAATACCTTAATTTAAAAATTGAAGAAAAAAATATAAATAAAAGCAAATGACCAGAACAATGGAACAACCAGTCGCTATGACGCGCACAGTGGGGTCAACCAGCCCCGATCAGCCCCCATTGGGGTGGGTGGCCAGATTGCACCATGCACAAATTCATGCACCAGGCCTCTAATGCAGACAAATTTATACATTGGTATTCTCTCTAGCAATCTTGCTACACATGCTAATTATTTCCAAAAGGTTATTTCTAAGTTTCATTATGCACAACCCAATCATTTTTTATTGCTGACAAAATTATTTCTGCTGTTTTAAAAAATGCCTTTTTTTCATTTTTTCATAACAATGGAAAGACCGAGCCAGCACAAGGTTAATAGAATCAGGATTAGTGTACCAAGCTGTCTTATTCCTGATAAGAACATGGAACTGTGGAGTTCATCCAATCCTAGTCTGGTAAGAATTTTAATTTTTAATATATATTGGGCTCCATCAGACTGGATGAAATCACTGGGGCCTGGGTAGAATAAAAGGGAACAGAACCAGGGGTACTTACTGAAGCAAAATAACTCTGGTTCTACCTACTCTGTCATCTTATAGGCTATGTCATGAAATAACCAGGAGTTTCAGTCCTGTCTCTGACATATCCTAACTGCATGATGGTGGGAAAGTAATTATATACTTTAGGTCTGGTTTTTATTTTAAAAGACAAATGCACAATGTGTGCTAGTACAGTAAATTGTCACTATAACGAATAAATGTCAGCATGAAGTAGGAATTAAACTGTAAATAATTTGACTTATATTCCAACTTTCAAATATTTTATTTACCTTTATTCTTACATCTCTAGCAAGAGATACTGGTTTGAATTTCTAATAGGGGTATATGCATACCTTCCTAAATGAATTTGAGTTTAGTAATGTATTTTACTTAAGAAATATATTGATGCAATAGCAGTGTAGCTGGTGTGGGACATGGCATCGACTCTACAGTTGGTTTATAAATAATTGGGGTCTGACAAGGTTATACTGAGTCATGGTACGTGCTTAACCCTTTGCTCATTGCTGTGTTTGATGCCAAAGAAAATAAGGCAATATTCCGATCATGCAACACCATACAACTCAACACCAGAGTCTGTGTGTCAATTCGTCAGGCTGTGCTTAAGTAGCAGGGCACCAGGCTGACATGGCCAACAGGTTCCCTACTGAAATTGTTGTCAGCTCACCATTCCATAGATTGGGCTTATAAGAGTACAGTGAACCCAACTGCATTCAGAGTTTATTATTTACAGAAACACCATTAGCAAGATCAGCTTAGGGTCAGTTCCCTCTGTCCCCCTGTTCTCCTTTGACAGTGACTCAGATGTGCTTAGTGACTGACACCACAGGTGGTGGTGGTGGTAACTGCCAGTGAGGAGCCCGCATTTGGCCCCTGGCCCCTTCCCTAACAAAACCAAAGAGCCTGCTGTCCTGCAGTCCTTCTGTCCGTCTCACTTATCACTGACAGTTAAGGACGAGGCCTGCCCCTCACCAGGCTTCTGGCCCAGTCATGAGCTCCAGCTGTCCTACCCCTTGGGGGACTTTGGCAACACCAGCCCCCCTTTCCATCCCACCACCCCACCCCCCATTTATTCTGCATCCCCAGGGAGGCACAAGCCCTCGCAATGCCCAGCTCACAGGGAACGCTGGTCCCGCCCCCTGTTATGCTGTTGCCCGCTGCGGGCGGGAAAGTTCGGTTCCGCAGACTTCTTGAAGAGTGCAGGACTGCAGCGGACTGTGGGTTCTCATCCTGACTCTGCCCAGCTTAGTGGTCCACGAGCATCTGCATGGAGGAGCTTTCCCGGTTCCCACCACCAAGGGGCGCCAGAGGGGAGCGTTCCTTCTGGGCTCCGAGGCAGGACGGGCCACTCGGGGAGCTACCTGGTCTGAGGCTGCGCCCCTCGTTTGCTCCTCGGAGCTCCACCCCTGGGTCTGACGCGGTCAGGTCCAGCCGTCCAGCCCGGCCGGCTACTGGGTGAGCGATTACTTCCCAGCGCCGAGGGCGGGCCGGGCCGTGCTGGGCGCTGATTGGCCTCCGCCAGCCTGAGGCTGGAAGCCCTTCCAGGGCGCGGCCGGCTGCGGCTGGACCTGGTCTGGGCCTCTGCTCGCTGCCCAGGTCCGCTGGCGGTCCGCCCATCGTGGGCAGCGAGGGGTCGCAGCGCCGGAGCTGAGGGTGAGGCATGTGCGCGAGGGCCGTGCTTGTCAGAGCTGGACTGTGTGCAGCTGCACCCGCACCGCTGCTGTCCGCGCTCGGCCTACGTGGCCGCCGGGTCAGCAGCGGAGGGGGGGTGGCTCCACGGGAGCCCTGCGGCCTCGGTTCGCCTCCGCTCCATCACCAGCCTGGTGTGCGCCTTGGGCACCGCAGCCTCAGTCCTGCAGATGCCCCGGCTGAGGACCAGGGAGGGGCCTCGGCCAGCTGTGTGCCTGCCTGGGCGGTCAGGTGCCAGGCCTCTGGGATCCGGCGTTCTGCAGGAGACTCCCAGGTGCTGTCTGGGGCGGGTGCTCTCTCCGGGCCTTTGGGGGCTGAGTGAGGGGGCTGTTTGAGTGGATGTGTGCGCCCGTGGGCTAAGCTCTCCTGGGCGTGGTGTGCCTGTGCACTGGTGTGCGAATACCTGAGGGCATCTGTGCCCGGGCAGGGAGATCTGTGTGGGGGGTGCAGCCCCAGGTGGGAGGTCTCCCAGCAGAGCTGGAGCTCCTGATGGGCCAGAAGCCTGGTGTGGTCTGGGCCCCCAGCTGGGACGGCTCTGAACTGTTTGTGGGTGGAGAGGTTTCACCTTAAGGTGTGCAGATCCTGAGCTGTTTGGGGTCTGTGTCCTGTGGTCCATCTGGGGGCACGATCTGAAGGTCATGTGGTGTTTGTGCGGTGTTTGCACTTCTGCCTTCTGCTTGTGCCGTCCTGGTATTAAGGGGAGAGGGTGTCTGCATACTTTGGGGGGGGTCTGTCTCTAGAACGTGCAGTGTCCGCAGCGTAGGTTCCTGGGCTGAGGACCTTGGTCTTTCAGGGGCGGATTGTCCCAGTGGGCACGGTCCCTGCTCTGTGGGGGAGTCTGTGCCTCCAGCTGTGAGCTCTTGGACAGAGTTTTGGAATCCGCTGTGGGTTGTGTTCAGTGAGCTGTACTTGTGTCTCTGGGTGTGTGAGTCTGGCTCCGGTTCAGTCTTTGTTCTTTTTGGTGTGAGGTCTCCGTCCAGGAACTGAGGGTGTTGGAACCTGGCGGCTGTGATTCCGAAGCCTGGAGCCCCAAGCCTGGCTGTGAGTCCGTGGGCAAGTCCCTTGTCTCCTGAGCCTCGACATGGATCATAATCAATACCATGAGCCCAGTGCCCATACCAGAGCGATGTGGGTCAGAGCCCGGGTCACAGTCCGACTTCGGAGCCCCGCCAGGTGCCCAGGCCCTGTTCTGGGAGTTGGGGGTACAAGGGGGAATAATTGGCAAAGTCTCTGATTTCACGGAGTCGGTCAGTAAGTCTGTAACATCTGTGAGAGTGCGGAGTGTTAAGGAGAAGGAAAAGCCAGGTGAGGGGGAAGAGCATTTTCTCGGGGTGATGGGGAAGGTCTCTCTGGAAAGGGGCTGCTGATGGGGCTGAGACTGGGAGGGGGTGAGGGAGAGGCCGTAGATGGCCTGAGGGAAGAGCAGGCCAGGCACAAGGAACAGGACGGGCAACAGTGCTGAGGGGGAATGCACGCGGCGTGTTCCTACAGGTCGAGGAGTCCTGTGACGCTGGTCAAGCCTCACGGCTGGGTTTAACACACGGCGCTCCTGGGAGGTGCCTGGTGTTGCAATCTCTGTTCCTCCTCCAGCCCGTGAGGGGGTTGTGGTCACGCTCATCCTCCAGACCAAGGACCTGAGGCTCCAAGAAGTGGCTGTGGCCGAAACCGGTTTGGCTCAGTGGATAGAGCATCAGCCTGTGGACTGAAAGGTCTCAGGTTCAATTCTGGTCAAGGGCATGTACCTTGGTTGCGGGCAAATCCCCAATGGGGGTGTGCAAGAGGCAGCTGATCAATGATTCTCTCTCATCGATGTTTCTATCTCTCTCTCTTCCTCTCTGTAAAAAAAATCAATTAAAAAAAAGTGGCTGTGAGCATGCTCTCCTGCTCACACCTGAAATTGCTGAAAGAGGAGGGAAACATCCAAGTCCAGCTTGAGAGGCAGAGGGTTTGAGGGCCAGAGCTTCAGGGAGGACACCATCACTCTGAAGGTCAGCCAAGCGGCTGATGCGAATGATAGTGAGGAATCACACCCAGGATTACCTTTTTTGGGCTCCATGGAGGGGAGAAAGTTATGGATGAGAGAGGAGAGGGCAGAGGAGAGGGGCAGGAAAGGGCAGCTGGGGACCAGTGAGAAAAAGGACTGGGGCTTCCCAGTGCTGCCATGCTTGGGCCGATTCTCCTTGAGTAACTGATTGTCCTAAGCTGTGTTCACTTTTTCCGCTCCCCTCCTCTTTGTCCCACGTCCCTTCCCTTTTGGGCCAGAGCAGTTTTGTCCTGCAGCTGCCATCACAGGTGCGGCAGAGCGGGGAAAGCACCTTGGGGGGCCAGAGCCCAGCACGGGGTGGGGGCATCCGCACTGGGGGACAGGCTGCAGGGTGACAGCATGGGGAGGGGGTATCTGCCCTGGGGGACAG